GACAGTCTCATTGTCACAGGTCGGCTAGAACTATGAGGTGAGTGAAAAGCAGTCACCTCATAGTTCTCCTTTAAGGGTTCTCTACAGATAGACAGTGTCTCCTGAATAATTTCCTACCTACAGCAACATATCTTATCCTGAGAAGCTGATCAGATAAAAATCCACCAACTTAAGTAGGGTATACATGGGTAGACTTTCAAACAAACGTTTGTACAAAATATCCCATCAGAAATTTGATGATGCCATCAGAGACAGTTGTAGTTTGAAATTTCGTTTGATCGTCATTTTCATTTAACATTCGATTTTGGAATGAATGGAGTTTCCTAAACGAAAACCACATCTATCGTTAGCATTTCGTTCAATCAAGAACAAATTTTCAGCATGTTCCTCCAAATTTTGTTGTCACTGCAGTCAAAATCAATCATCGTTTTCACCACATCGCCGATTAGAGACTCGTGTGAACATTCCAAAATTGTTTTTGTTTGTTTGAAATCCTAACTGTGTATACCCTACTTAAAGCTGGCCATCCATGGATTGAATTTTGAACACAGCAAACATTATGCAGCAGAGCAGCCATGCCACCGCCACCACATGACCCAAAGTGTTGCTGGCTGAGGCAATAGTCTCAGGCAGCCTCATTAAAGGGACAGCCCTGGTTACAGTTACAGAATTAAGGAAGGAGATCATACACTTTCTATATGCACATCACCATTTAGTAGTTGAAAGGGAGATTAACTTCAGTAGAGGATGCACAGTTTCATATTTTTGTATAATCCAGATGTGCACTAAGTTCTGTTCAGAGGAGGAGTAGAAGTCATACAGGAATGTTGGATTTTTGAAATTTTATGCATCTCGGTGACTCAGCTGAACTTTGTGCTGTTGTTGCCCTTATCAGCATCACTTCATTTGACATTATTTGATTTTTCAACTTTTCCCACAGGAACTAAGACGAAAATTGTCAGCTAAACAGTGACTGCGGCCAATGAGCTGTTCACTGTTACCGTTCAGGTATTCTAACAGTTGAGCAGAGAATCGCCTGGCAGGGTGAGATTTCTCCATCCATGCTTTTTAGTGTGAATAGGGGAATAGAGTGTTTTTCCTCCTTTCGTGTATGGTATATTGTTTACATTGAGCACCCTTGCTCTGGTTCCAGGATGATGGCACTGTTTATACAATGGTTTTTGGATTAGAGTGGAGTAGAAGAACTAAACTTTATCTAGTCAGCCACATGCATTTAGTTTACATCAATCAAATTAAACTACACAACAAAAAACAAAACAAGCAGAATCGTATTTGAAAACAATTTAATAGAATTCCAAAAACATAGAAAATAAAACTATAGCATAAAATTCAGAATTACGTTTTATAAAATACAGCACTTTAATAATTTTGCCATGTACAAAATGTTTCTTTCATATTTATATACATTGAAGATTGCACATCATCTGGGCCTCTGTCACTGGCACCGTTTTCAGTTTGTATTACATGATATATAGTATACCACTATACCATTCACTTACTGCTTCTAACAACATCAAGCAAATAGTTCTCATTCATTAACAAAATAACTCATCTTTCATCACTTGCTATGTCAGGATATCAGGATCCTCCTTCTACCTTCTAAGTCAGCCCACAAGCTAATCCTGGCTTGCTAGAACATCTCCTCTGTCCCACAATTTTTCTACTTGAAAGGAGTTTTATGGCATATTTAATAAGTTAGTGCAAAGACATGTGATAAACTGTAACCCACAGCAACCAAGAAAAGCCTGTAGCCGTCAGCAGACTTTCAGAAAACGGATAAAACCGACTTGTGGTTGGCTACTATTCACTTGTGCGCCCTAAATATGGAATTTATTATTATTAAAATTGAGACTTATTACAGACAATTTTTATTCTCTAAAGCTGTCCATACACTAGTAGAATTTTGCTGGAAAAGAATAGTTTTCAGAACATTCACTCAATTTTCTAATAGCTGATGGGGTCAAATCAACAATCATTTTTGACCACAGTGCCAAAACATAGAAGGAGCAGGATATAATTTTTTTTCAAATGAATGAAAGTCTAACAGTGAATGTTGTTTTGGGAAACTCCATTCATTCCAAAGTCGAATGTTAAAATTAAACCAGCTTTCGAACGATGGCAATCAAGTCTCTGATGGCACTATCAAATGTTATGAGAAACATTTTACTTATGAGCATTTGTACGGAAATCTGCCAGTATACAGCCAGCTTTATACACACCATTCAACTTTCTAAGACAAAGAGGGAGACATTTAAAAGATTGTTTTGGCAAAAGGGTACAGTGCTGCAGGATGGATTGGATACCGTAAGATGCATTTGCTTCATGATGCCTGCAGAGCAGTAATGTTGAAATCTCCTTTTAGGTCTAATTCTGCACACATACAGCCTAAAACATATATCAAAGGGGGTGGAAGTGTCAGTAGCACAGGCAGTTTATGACCTATATGGTAACACCACATTGTTCCCACATACAATAATTAGAAGGGATTGGAAATGATGTACCTACAGTCACTGTATCCTAGTGCCAGCCCATGTTCTTTCTGATGAAGAGGTATCTGATGAGGAAGAAGGTCAATCAATCCTTGTTGAAAATAATGGAAATTAAAGAATACTGTATCGCGAGACACCCAAACCTTTATAGAAATCTGTTCTTGTTGTCTATCAGACAAAACTTTGCATTGGTTCTTTTCCTCTTGCCAGAACCCATAACTGCTTTCATAGTAATGCCATACATGTTCATTGAAACAAATTTTTTGAAATTAAAATCATTATATTAATTTAGTATTAAGGTCTAGGGCAAGGGTGGGCAAACTTCAGCGCTCCAGCTGCGGTGAAACTACAAATCCCATGAGGCATTGCAAGACTCTGACAGCCACAGACATGACTTTCAGAGGCAGATGGTTGATGGGATTTCATCACAGCTCGAATGGTCGAAGTTTGGCTACTCAGGCCTAGGGGAAACATTATGTCATGAGCTTAAATGGCCTTTTTTTCTATACCCTACACATATAACAGGACCCACAAATAAACTGATATAGCAACTATTAGTTTAGCATGAAAGCAGATCTCATCACTTACTACACAGGAAAAAACACCCTCAATGTTCCTCTCAGTCTAAAGCCATATGCACAGGTATCAAAAGGAGCAAACCCTAATACAGGTTTGGGCAACTCCGACCCTCCAGCTGTGATAATACAAGTCCCTTGAGTCATTGACAGTTACAGGCATGAAAGGGTATGAGGCACCTGGTATAACACACAGAGTTGCCCACCCCTGCCCTAATGCCAGGTCTGAAAGGGTATGAGGCACCTGGTTTAGCACACAGAGGTGCTTAATGAGATGTCAGCTAAAGGCTAGATTCACACTAGCCTACTACATTTAAAAAAATAATGTGGCTCATCTGGAAAATAAACAAACTTTATGCTTCCCAAATCTATTTCACCTGCATTTATTATACTTGCGTTTACACATGATTACATAGACATGTTCAGAGTATTTAATTTGCCCCGGGATGCACAAAATTCTATTTTCTCCACATACAGTATAGCTAAACCGAATGCACCTAAACACAGGTGAATGCATAGTGTTAATTATACAATTTAAAATCATTGCATGCATGTAAATGGGTTTAAAAATGTCCTATAAATGCATGTATGTCTCTGCCAGTGTAAATGAGGCCTTACTTCTCAATCCCAGAGATGTTGACACAGCATTTTGCTTGGCTGTGCCTCATGTTCAAGGCCTATTCCATTTCTCTGCTCTCCCTAATCTGGCTCCTTTGGCTAGGAAAACTTTTAAAATCTGGAGAAAACATGACTTGGACGCACACAGATTTTAAATGCCGGAGAGCACCACATGTATAAGGCTAGAAGGTGTGCATATAGACATTCGAGGAATCTCTTCTAAAGCATGGACGATAATCAAGATGTCTGTAGTTAAACATAAATGTCAAAGGACATTTGCAGATTGGAATTTGTACTCTGGATCCACCAATCCTTCTGAGATAATAGTGGCGGCAGAAGCGTCTACTATGCATATGCATACGTGTTTGTAGTATACAAGCCTCTATGTCTACGTGCATGCTAGGCAAAAGAAGGATTGTGCAGTGGTCAAATCAATAGTTAATGTATGACCTCTGTCTTTAAGGTAAGCTTAAAATAAAAACTATGAATGGCAAAAAAATGTAACAGCTAAGTATGCAAAGCAAACAGCAGAGTTTCGGAGTGACTTTTACAGAAACAAAAAACACATCAGTGCTTTAACCAGTTGACATCCGCGGTGTTAAACCCCCTTCCCATCCAGGCCATTTTTCAGTATTCAGCGCTGCGGTACTTTGACTGACATTTATTCCGTCATGCAGCGCTGTACTGAAATTACGGATGGCAAGAGGTTAAATAAAGTTTTTTCATAAAAAATCACTTCCTGACTTTTGCCCGTGTGGGAGCATTTAATGTTAATGTGGAATGTTCTTCTATCCTCAGGGGAGACTCAGGAATGAAACTTAAAGCACCAGTGTTCCCACAGTGTGGGGGGAAAAAGAAGAAAAACAGATGTTTCTTAAACTAAGAGGCCAGAAAGTCCTGTAATAAATTGCAGATTGGTTAACCCATTGCAGAGAAGCAGGCCTGCTACAGATTAGTAAACCATGAACAGGCCTATGCTTACTGTACAGGCAACTTGAATGTATGGTTGTTATCCAGTACTGCAAGATCAAGCATATTTCTAGTTAATCACAAGGCAACGCAGTGCAGCCTCACCCGGAGAAATAAATTACATCACAAGGCTGAACACATCGTAAATTTAGAGGCACAAATAGATTTTGGAACATACTGCATGGCTACAGTGTACATTTTTTGTAGACTGAACATTTTTTCTGTTTGTCGGTGAACACATAAATCACAGCCCTCAACAAATGCAGAATCTCTGTGCACATTGACCAGCTGGACTTATATTTCATTTTGTAACCAGGATTAAATATACTATTCCAGGCTGGATACCAGCAGGTTACCTGCATATCGCACTCTGATTGAGATAGTGAGAGGAAGACAGCACAAAAGTGAACTGATGTTATCATAAAGGATTCATATAAGTCACTGAAGAACATGAAAATGCTGGTTGCAATAACCTTTTCCTGGGTAGCATGTCTGGTAAATCTTATTATGATTACATCCATTCTTGTACACCTTAATGTGACGTTTACCAAAGCTTTCCTATCCATATAAGACAGCTTAAAGGTCATAGTGAATAGTGGCACTTGAAACTGGCCAATATGTAAAAGATCACCAATGCCATATGGTACCGTCAATGGCATTAAAGATGTGTTTGGTCAGCGGTGACCTTTTATATTTGCCGCGTACAGTCATACAGACACACTGAACATTTCTGAATTCTGATCCACCACTGGGCAGCAACAGTGTCATTAAACTCTGTATTCTTTTCTATTTTTAGAAAGATATCCATTGGCATCAATATTACTGGAAAGTCAATGGTCTAATAAGGCAAAGCTACATGGAGAAAAGTGCCTGGGTATCTGATATGCTGTATTTTGGAAGGCAAGGAAAGGCAGTTGCCTTTTTAATGCTGAGAAATAGCACCAACTTCAGTTTAACTTCCTGTGTTACTATCAATAGTAATGTACACGACCAATGGTGCCAGTTCCTGTGCCCAGAATATCAGGCTGTCCATTCCGCCATATTTCTCGGATTATCCTCTCCCGCTCCTCTAACCTCTGAGCTCTCTCCAGCTCTTCTGCTGATGCGAATACATTAACTGACAGTGTACCATCCATAGGGGTCTGGGCTCCTAGGGGTGTGTCTGTCACAGGAGTCAAGATAAATGTTTCTTCATTGTCATCGCTGTCTGGCTCCTCTCCATCCACCACAACAGACAGGGGCTCTTTTATAAAGTCTTTAGGAGGAGTCTTTTTCGGTTTGGAAGGAACGCTGGGAGTTCGAGGCTTGCAAGAGATGCGGATCACCAGCATACAGAGAGTTAAGATCAGTCCAAAGCATACTCCAAGCACAAAGTAAAGACCAAAGGATTCGGGGTTATCTAAAAACAAAGGTATAAAATTGTAAGTCATTTGTAAAAATATGATAATTCATTGCAATACAACATTACATAACATGAAAGAACTTTCGAAAAAACTGTTCTTCACTCTTGCAGTGTAGGTGCTCGTTTTCGTCTAGGTGCAAAAATAAGTTATACTTACCAGACCCTTGGAGCCAACTGGCTGTTATATCAGTACTTCCAGACTCGTATACCCCTTCGTTCCAGCAAGGTCCCGTGAGTTATCACATTCAATACAATGTGTAGGGACATACCATCGGTGGAGCGGAGGATGAGACAGGTTGGAGGGAGCACTCTTAGACAGTTCACACCTAGGCATTTTGTAGGCATTTAAGCATGACAAAATGCTCAAGACAAGGAATCACATTCATTTCTATGGCCCCTGTTCACACCTGAGCGTTTTGTCACAAGCAAAAAAAAAAAAACCCTGTCGCTGGGAAAAGTACATGAGCTACTTTTTGGCAGATTATAGCACTTTTTTGTCCCATAGACTTTAATGGGAATTTTACAGGGTCACTCACTTAGCTGCCAAATGAATAACCGTGCCAACATGAAGTGAGCCGAACGGCGTTCAACTATTCATTCTGATTCAGTACGGCTGAGCCGAAGTGCAGAGGGACTTCGACTCAGCCGATCCAACATCTGGATCGGCTGAGCCGAAGCTACGGCAGCTACTTTCTGCCATTCACCCCTATTCTCATAGGGGCCGAACGGCAGTAAGTGAATAGCCGAATGCCGCCGAGCGGCATTCGGCTGACCTATTCTGCTCGGTGCCTCTGAGGTACAGAGCAGAATAGAAAAGAAGTGCAAAGAATGAAAAAAAAAAGTTGAAAAATTTCAACTTTTGAAAGAGAGCCGAAGGATCAGCTGAAGAGAGCCGAAGGATCAGCTGAAGCTCCAGCCGGCTGCAAGGTTTTGAGTATTTAATAAGTCCCTCAGAATCCCCCTTATATCAAGGCATGCCTGACAGAATCCCCCTAACATCCATGAATGCCCAGCAGAATCCCCCTTATGTCAGAGAGCCCAGTAATGTGCACCCTTGCATCAGGGAGTGCCCAGCTGAGTCCTCCTACAAGCCCACCTGTACTGTATATGCTCCTGTAAATGCTAGGGCTGGGCAATCCCGTCATTGGTTACTAGGATGCAGATAGTCTGAGCAACCAACCACTGTGGGAGAGTGAATCTGCACTGGGGACTGAGGGAGGGTCATGGCAGTCTCCATATTATGATACACAGACGAGAGTATCCACTAATAGCCAGGGTTGTTGCCGGCCAGATAAAATCTTGTAGCAGGCCAGATGTGGCCTGTAGGCTGTAGTTTGAAGAACTCTGCTCTAGGTTATCATGGTCAAATCTGTAGATAAGATGCAGGCAAATGTCTCACTGTAAGAAAGGCCAAATTAAATACTCTGTACTGTCCTGTAACTCTACACTGCCAGAATCCACTACAATGATCCCCCTCAATTTGGCTGAGGAGTGAATGTAGCACACACTCAGTGTATCCTTCCTCTATACAAAAGGAAATGACTTAAAACCTGAACATTTTTAAAACATTGCCTGTGTGGGAAACAGCACTGATTTGGTTCCAGTTTTCGTAAATCAGCCCTAGTCTTATGACACTGGAACCTGCAGAATGCTATCTTTTTTATTTTGTATAGGGTTACCATTTGCCCTGTATATTCCACTCTTAGGGTAACGGTACACAGACATCTATGATGTACCCCGGTCCTAACAGTATCTTTGTAAACTGAATACAGCTTAGACATGGTTGTACTGAAAGTTGATATAAACCAAACCAAACTTTCCAAGCATTGTGCCTGTAGTTTTCATGTACATAGAAACAAATAAAAAAAAGTATTATTTGCTTGCCCTGATGTACCTTTAGCAGTGTTTACATGTTCTCTATACCATCCACCATGCTCTAGGTGAGTTGAGCTAATGACACCTATTTAACCTACCCTAAAAATAAGATTTCAGATTTAACAGCTCCTAATAGCATAACTATGTTTATACAACTAACTGTACACAATACACCATTCAGTACTCTTACAAGAAACACAAGAAAAACTGTTTATATAAAAATGTTGACTTCTTTTTTTTCCTTCCTGTTTTTTAGAACTGTATGCATGAACCTCATACTTGCATTTGTGTAGCTATAAGGCTTACAGTGCCTACAACTTTAATCAGGACCCAAGAGCTAGAAATGCCTTATGGGGGAAACGTTATGCTCACAATAAAGATATTTCTGAAGCTGTAGCACAAAGGATGGCTTTTCTAGTGCTTAATCCTAAGAGCAGCAGATCATATTAAGCCTCGGCACACCAGCAGTGTTTGCGTAGAGGCCTCCAGTGCACTGGCAATTACAACCCAGCAGTAAACAGGAGAACATCACCATGAGTTGACCACATTGACGTCATCGCCTCTTGTCAGATCAAGATACTTATGAAACTCTAAGAAAATGAGTCACTGTTTTTTTTACTCTTTATATCTGATCATTGTTTTAGCTCGGCACATTTAGTTATACATTGACGTCATCTGTCTACTTGGCTACAACACACTTCTTGCTTTGGAGCGCTGGGCTACCATATGTTTACATTTATGAAATCCAAAGAAATTTTAAATTCAAATAAATTACTGTACCTCTAATATGAGCATATGCTGCTATGCTGTTACTTAGAAACTCCATTTCCTTCTTGTGAGTATCCATCGCCTGAGATTCAAGATCTTAAAAGACAAAGAACAGATATCAAAATTTCACATCATCTGAAATTTTCAATTCACAAACAATTGTATGTACTCTTCATTTAACCAGTTGACATCCGCGGTGTTAAACCCCCTTCCCATCCAGGCCATTTTTCAGTATTCAGCGCTGCGGTACTTTGTTAACCAGACACTAACCCTAAGCAGAACTTTTCGGCTTTAAGTGACAGTTTCTCCTGGTAGCCCACCCCCCTAGCAAGCTCACCATCCCTATGTTCTTCCACCACATCCAGGCTCCATTAGAGCCCTTGTTCTGTTGCTCAGGGCTCCCAGGTATGGTGGAGCATGTAACCTCCCCCATGTGATAATGCTCCAACCATGACATCCAATCAACTTGTCCAAGCACTGTTACATGTGCGCATGCATGCATGCATGTGTGTGTGTGTGTGGAGGGGGGTGAAGTGGGTGCAGTGGTCATCCACCTGGGTAAGACTCAACACTAGAGTTTACCCGGTGGGTATTGCTGCAGTAGAGGGATGGCTAGGCATCATTGATTGATGAGTATATTTTGCTGGGATGGTAGGTTGTCATAAGACAATATCAATTTGCTCTGAAAGAACAGTTTCTCTTTGAATGCCTACTTTACAGGTAAACTCGAATAATTAGAATATCGTGCAAAAGCTAATTTATTTCACTAATGCAACTTAAAAGGTGAAACTAATATATGAGATAGACTCATTACATGCAAAGCAAGATAGTTCAAGCCGTGATTTGTCATTGTGATGATTATGGCTTACAGCTTATGAAAACCCCAAATCCACAATCTCAGAAAATGAGAATATTGTGAAAAGGTGCAATATTCTAGGCTCAAAGTGCCCCACTCTAATCAGCTAATTAAGCCATAACACCTGCAAAGGGTTCCCGAGCCTTTAAATGGTCTCTCAGTCTGGTTCAGTAGGAATCACAATCATGGGAAAGACTGCTGACCTGACAGTTGTGCAGAAAACCATCATTGACACCCTCCATAAGGAGGGAAAGCCTCAAAAGGTAATTGCAAAAGAAGTTGGATGTTCCCAAAGTGCTGTATCAAAGCACATTAATAGAAAGTTATGTGGAAGGGAAAAGTGTGGAAGAAAAAGGTGCACAAGCAGCAGGGATGGCCGCAGCCCAGAGATGATTGTCAGGAAAAGGCCATTCAAAAGTGTTGGGGACTTTCACAAGGAGTGGACTGAGGCTGGAGTCAGTGCATCAAGAGCCACCACACACAGACGGATCCTGGACATGGCCTTCAAATGTCGTATTCCTCTTGTCAAGCCACTCCTGAACAACAAACAACGTCAGAAGCGTCTTACCTGGGCTAAAGAAAAACAGACCTGGTCTGTTGCTCAGTGGTCCAAAGTCCTCTTTTCTGATGAGAGCAAATTTTGCATCTCATTTGGAAACCAAGGACCCAGAGTATGGAGGAAGAATGGAGAGGCACACACTGCAAGATGCTTGAAGTCCAGTGTGAAGTTTCCACAGTCTGTGTTGATTTGGGGAGCCATGTCATCTGCTGGTGTTGGTCCACTGTGCTTCATTAAGTCCAGGGTCAACGCAGCCGTCTACCAGGAGATTTTGGAGCACTTCATGCTTCCTTCCGCAGACGAGCTCTATGGGGATGCTGACTTCATTTTCCAGCAGGACTTGGCACCTGCCTACACTGCCAAAAGCACCAAAACCTGGTTCAATGACCGTGGGATTACTGTGCTTGATTGGCCAGCAAACTCACCTGACCTGAACCCCATAGAGAATCTATGTGGCATTGCCAAGAGAAAGATGAGACATGAGACCGAACAATGCAGAAGAGCTGAAGGTTGCTATTGAAGCATCCTGGTCTTCCATAACACCTCAGCAGTGCCACAGGCTGATAGCTTCCATGCCACGCCGCATTGAGGCAGTAATTGCTGCAAAAGGGGCCCAAACTAAGTACTGAGTACATATGCATGCTTATACTTTTCAGAGGTCCGATATTGTTCTATGTACAATCCTTGTTTTATTGATTGCATGTAATATTCTAATTTTCTGAGATTGTGGATTTGGGCTTTTCATGAGCTGTAAGCCATAATCTTCACAATTATGACAAATCACGGCTTGAATTATCTTGCTTTGCATGTAATGAGTCTATCTCATATATTAGTTTCACCTTTTAAGTTGCATTAGTGAAATAAATGAACTTTTGCACGATATTCTAATTATTCGAGTTTCACCTGTATATGCTGTGTAAGTGCAAACGTATGTATTCATTTTGTTATTCTATGCCCCTTTTACTATCAATAAACTATATTTTGGATCAAACAGGATACCACAAGATTTCATTGCTTTGCTTTTGGATGGAATGGAGCAAATTGAGCCCCTAAGTAGGGGTGAGTGCAGGTTCAGACTGAACCCGGTCCAAACTTGAACTCCTCTGAACCTGAGAGGAGCTATTCCTTCTCTGCCAGCCAATCAGCTGCTGAAAGGAATTTAACTGCCCCCCAGCTTCATGTAAGCAAAGGGCTGAGATGCATTGATGTCACTGACCTTATATGGCTGCAAGCCTATATTTGGTAAATGAGATTCACAACATGGCTACGTGGCCATAGTAGGTAAATTATGTCAGCACAAGCATCCTGCCCCTTTGTTTACATGGAGCTGTAAGGCTAGGAATGCAAATAACCACAGCTGCTTGGGTGGAAGTGCCCATGGCACTTCCTTGTTAAGAGACATTCAGATTAGGACCAGGTTTGGTCCAAACCTCAGCTCATCTCTACCCCTAAGATATATAACAAGCAAATAAGTGAATAACTGCCAGAAACCGAAAATTGAAATCAAAATGCCACATCAATCAAGTACAATGAAACCCAGAGCAATCCATCAATTTCCTTTATCTATTACTGATTTGATTTGATCAGTAATAATTCGATCAGTAATAAATCACCCTAGATTGAGTGTTATGGGCTAGCGTACCTCACACATTGTCAGTGCACTTAACAGAGCTGTTTGGGTTTTTTTTTTATACCTCAACCACAATAGCATGTGTGTATACTCTGTAATGTAGCAGTCTTGTTTGGAAAATAAAACATCATGTTTATGTATGGGGTCTTCCTTTTCTAATCAGTAAAGAAACAGGACTCTGGAGGACAAGCAGCATAGCAGAGTGTTATCTGATGGAACGTAGGTATTAGTGAATCACATCCCCCACCAGCAATGACCTGGTTTCCTGCATGTCCTAAAATACGTGCCTGTAACTTCCTTCCAGGTTTGAGACATTCCCTGACACTCCCATAAACAGTACAGCTCGCCCTTATCTAAAATACCCTTATATCTGCCTTCATGACACACAAAACTGCTACCATATACATGCATCAGTTCATTCATAGTCATATCTGTCTGTGTATTGTCTACAGGAAGTATACAAAAAAAATATTTATAGGCAGTATAAGCTGTAAATAATACCTAAATAGACTTCCTAACTTTATAAGTATAGCATAAAAACTTTTAAATAATTGCCTTGTATTGTGAGATCTTGTTTTGTTTTTTGTTTTTTTTTTATACGCAAAATAAAAAATGACATATATAATGTAGTCTGTCAATCGCATTAACACTAACAGTTTTTGTTTTTTTAAGTCCTCACCCCCACCCTTGTAACATAGTTTTATTACCTGTTTATCCAGCCAGTAGATCCATTATTTTTCCATTTACTTTAACAGACCAAACTGTCCAGCAAAAGTTTCAGTTACAGAGGGAGGGACAAACCAAATATCACTGATGGGGTGCTTACAACAGACAGCTTTTATAAATATGGTTTAGACCTTTTCAAAAGAAAAAAAAAAAGACTGTTGCTGTAACTCTATTCACACTTCACTGAGAGTGTTTTCAGGAGATTTTGAAGCTCTTTTTGCATGCATTTTTCCTGTGTTTTCAGGCTTGAGCAATTTCGTTGTAGCCAATCTAAAGCTACAGTAGGTACAAGGAGAAGGTGGTTGTTAAGTGTGAAGTTGCATGAAGAACATAGTAATGCATTTTTATCAGGTGCATCCACTAAAGTCTACAGAGTCAAAAACGTGATTGTGCCCGATAAAAGTTCATGTACTTTTTTGAGCTACAAGTGACACTCAGGTGTTAATGGGTATTATTGGAAATAATGGGATTCTACATGTTGGGCAAATGTGTGACAAAACGGTCACTTGTGCATAGGGGCTCAAAAGTATTAGCTGAAGTTAGGTGTTAATGTGTTTATCTTTTACTTACAGGGTTATTCACAAAAGGGTCAAGCGTTTGGTGAAGACAGGAGAAGTGAACAATCTAGGACAACATAACTAAAATGGAAAGTGAGCTGAATTGGAGAAATTTTCCAAATAAGCTACTTTCTCCTAGATTGTTCACTTCTCCTGCCTTCTCCAAACTCATCACCCTTTAGGCCTGGTTCACACCTGGGCGTTTTACAGCGCGCTCTTACACACTGTAAAACGCTCAACATATGAAAACCAATAATTGCCTATGGGCATGGTTCCCACCTGGGCGTATTTCAGCGCGTAGGAACGCTCTACGCCCAAATAAGTACAGGAGCTTCTTTGGGGCGTTTTTCAGCGCGTTTCCATTGGTACTCCCGAGTGTGGATCGGGGTTAACAAAGCGGTAACTCCAAGCCACACTCGGGAATACAGCGTACAGGTCTTACCTTGTCCGCGATCCACGCTGTGTCCTCCGGCGGCTGCCGACTTCTAGGTTCCGTCCCTTGCGAGCAGACGCGTCGCAGGGGGGCGGAGCCGGCGGGAAGTTTGAAAGTGAAAAAATAAATAAATTATAAAAATAGAGAAAATAAGGAAAAAAGCAAAAAAAAATCATACCACTGAACGGAAAAACGTGCTAGAAAACGCGAAAAAAACGAGCTGAAAAACTAGCAGAAAAAATACGCTCAGGTGTGAACCCAGCCTTAGTGAATAATCCTGTTAGAATCTATTCACACTAGCCTGCAGCATTTTCCTTTGCCAGTGTCCACTG